CATCTACCAGCGGTCATAATTTCCACGGTTTTATGCCCTCTATCTCGGCTTGGAGAGCGGCTATCTCTCGCTTGGCGTACAGCAGACAGCGGACAAATGGCCATTGGAACTTTATAAATTTCAGCGAGTCGGCTAAGTGATGCACATGTGCTTAATGTTATCGGCAAGTACACTTTAGGCCATTAGCAGGCCATTTGGCTGCTGTCCGTTGTCCTGTTGTCCGTTTATTTCATCCGTTTGTGCGGCAAACTTCTCGCCGTCAACTCGATTGTGATAATTCTGTGAGAGCTGATCATGCTGGTATCCTGAATTATGCCAGTTTTGTAATTTTATGCGAATCTTGTTAATTGCACATAAACTTTCAGCCCATGCCCCTCCCTATCTACCTATCTATCTGTCTCGTTCGTTCGTTCTTCTTAGTGGCACGCACGCAACGAAAGACTTAGGCAGCGAACTCGATCGGCAGCTGTGTATGGATCAAGTTTGGGGCCTGGAGAGCGGGGTGCGGAGCCAAAACAACATGCTAATGAGAACTCGCAATTCCAAAATGAAATAAATTGAAACGCAACACGAAATGTGTATTTTCCCAAAGGAAATCCATACTTAGTCGTCTGTCAGGAACTGTCATTATCCACTGGATGCATTTATAGTGCGAAGCGTTTCAATTGAACATATTTAATTTCGCACAATTATCGGCCAAAGTGCTGAGTGCCACTTGTCTTCATTTGAGCAATCAACGATTGTGATATCCTGACTAATAGTAACGCCTTTCAGTTGCTCGCACACTCGCACATAGGTGTGCAAGAATAAGAATACAATTACTTATTGTTGATAAATCTGAAGTGGTAAGCGCCGTATTCGCGCCGCATAATGGATGTTCGAAATCAATTTAGCCGGAGAAAGGATCGGAGCAACGCAATCGAATCCAGCAGAGTGCCCAGTCCAGGAGGAGCACCGCTGGCGCCGCATTCGCAGTTGCAGCCAGCATCGAAGTCGCAGTTACTCTCTTCAAAAACGCATAAATTGCGGTTAATAACGCGCGCTTAGGCCACAACTCACGTCAGAATGCATCAAGGGGCACCGTATGGCGAATATTTATATTTCGCTCCGTCGGCTTTCGACGCTCGCCCCAATGGGAAGTGGAAACAACAGCCACGCAAAACCAATAAAGGCTCCAGCTCCAGCTCCGATTCCAGTCGGAGCTTCGGGCAGTCGCAGAGGAGGTACACGGCAAACAAATGGCAGCTAGTGTGGCTTCACAATCGGTTCGATCGCCTGCCATGGAATGTGCTAGGAAATACCTGTAAAGTCGCGAAGGAATATCAAATCAAAGTGACTGGCTATTTGTGAGTTTCATCTACATTTTGTGTGCAATTTCTCAGTGAACATATCTGCCAAGCTTGCAACTTTACAACAGTTTTTGCTCAGTGTAGAGTAGAGCGCGGGGTTGGGGCAGCGTGACTGCTGGGCTGGGATAAATTATTTTGGGACAAGCAAAATATCACTTCGATTAATTCAAACAAAGGCCCAAGCGCAGGGCAGCAAAAGAAAGAAATAAAAGCCGAGCGAGCGCCTTCGGTGGAGCAATCCCCCAAAAATCCCCACCCCTCCCCATCAGCCTCCCACTCAGGGGCTCTTTGCAAATAGAGTTGGCAGGCAGAATCGAAAATCGACATGGCCCCCTCCCACTCCCTCCGTGATCTGTATCATGTGTGTAGGGATTGGGTACTGAAAAGGGGGTAGATTGCAGCTGGCTACTTAAATGATTCGAACTACGCCCATGTCCTGGTTACTGGAGCTGCTATGGTTGCCCCCTTCTGGCTCATTGCAGTGCCCCTTGTTGCTGGGCTTGTTTATTTGGGATTGAACTTAATTTGGACATGATAAGTTGCTCTCTGTCGGCAGGACGTCGGTTTCCTTTCAAGTTTAGCTTGGCTTTCAGATCGTTGGGGTTTTGGTGCGCTGCATTGATGTTTTACTTGCAAATGGCGTAATGCAAAGCCAGAGAAGCGAACCAAATGGGGAATCGCATTGAATAGCAATCCAAGTAAGTTATTTATAAATAATGTCCTGTAGTAGAAACTCTGCTAAATTAAAATTCAACCAAGTACTACTTTGTGTTCCTTTGTTGCGTTCTTTTTGCCCCCTCCTCTCTTGTTAGCCACACGCAGTTTTGTTCACAGCAAAAGTGTCTTAAATTGCATAGCCGAGCACATGAAAAACAAGCAATTTAGGGCAATTTCGATTAAAATCAATATTTACAAGGCCCAACCAGCTGCGGCAGGGAGAAGAATCGTGGGACGGGGTGAAGAGTAGCTCCAGTCACGAGATTCTTCTGAGTTGCAGTGCGCCAAAATTACAAATTTAAACATGAAAAGTTATAAATAATGCGACGATGATGGGCAGTGCTGTGGAGCAGGGGCTGCACTGCCACAAAAAATGATCATTTGCTATCAACTCCTTGTGGTCAATTGGCTAACAATTTATAGTGTATTGCTAGAGATTTTCGCAGTGCAGGCAGAGACTCCTCTACCACCGGCTGCCCAAGTCAAAGTCTGCGTTTTGGCCCAGACTGCAGACTCGAGAGCCCCGAAGGCGGAAGACGCGATCCGCAGACCCAATCCCTCTGCTAAGGAGCCGTTGATGTGGTCCGATCTCGATCTCGATGCCATATAACCATGCCATGTACAGAAACCCAGTTCGGTTCTGGTTGCATTGGAGGCCTGGTGTTGTTGGTTTGCTTTGGTAATCACCTTTTGTTATAAAGACTGTAATTAGGGCTTCATTAAAAGGGTGGTCCGAGCTTGTCTTCGCCTGGCAGCCCCGGGAACGAACGTTGATTGAAAACGCTCGCAAGGGGCGGTGGAATGGGGGGCGTGGCGGGGCCTGGAATGTAGCGCCGATCAACAAGCGGGCCACGCCCACCGCGCACGCCTCATAAATAAAGTGAAATGTGCGTGCGTGCGATCGTCGCGATCAGCGTACAGTGGAACCTTGCTAAGTGAATAAGTCATTGTCAAAAAATACATTCAGATAATATTTGCTTTAAAGCCCTCCCCTTAAGTGTTTCAATCAAGCTATTAGATCAAGCTATTTGTTTTGAAACCCATCGGAACAAATTATATTATTTATATATTATTTTACCCACTGTGCCGGCAAGCAAAACAAATAGCGAACCGCGCCTAATTACAGTCCTCGCAAAGTGTTCCTTTATGGAGGGGCGGACACTTGCAGCGCAGTTTGTTCACCTGCCTCGCATCCCGACTCCCATTTCGATTTCGCTTTCGATGCATATATGGTGCCCACTGTACGGGTGGACCCACCGCATTTGGGGAAATTTCACGCCTGCCAGCTATATTTGCAAGTCGAACTGAGCCCCATGAAGCACAACCCCAGGTCCCAAAGAAGATCCATCTCGGGTGCGTTTTGGGTTCTTGTTTGCTTGGTTAAACGTCGCAATGGGCGCAATAATTAAAATGCCATCAATGCACCTGTACCTGTTTTCCCCGCTCCATTCCCTTTTTTGCCTTTCCTACCTGTGCCTGTTTGGGATTGATCGCTTGATCCGGGACGATAAAAAGTAGTCGAATAAAAAGCGGGTATGCACATTACAGATGTGGACAGGGAAAATGTCACCAAGACGGCAGCGGGTAGAAATTCAGGGAGTTGGTGGGCTCAATGAACATATGATTTATTGGCTGGGCATGTCCGCTGACAGGCCGCAGTTCCACCGCCAACTGTTTGAGCATGGAGATGAGACCCCGATCCCCGATCTTCGAACTGAGCTGATCCGCAGCCCCGACCCTCATCCACCTGGCTCGCCTCCACCGACATCATCCTTATCGCATTCGACGTTAGATAAAAAGGGCCATCGGTCTTCGTGGACTGGACTTTGGCGTATCCTCGACCAGGCCCTTTCCCATTTTCGTCCCTTGAAAATGTGTTTTTTTCCTAATGTTGTCAACGTACTTCTTTCAGTTTGATCAATGCCTTCTTAGCCTCGTATTTTAATGCACAATCGATGGTTGTTCCGGAAAATTTTATTTTTTTTCAATTTTCTGCAAATTTTGATTTTACAAAAAAATGCGAAAAATTACCAAAAAAATTAATTTTCCCAACTCGGTCAAAAAGTGATAGGGATGATTAGTATTGGTAATTAGGAGCACAAAACGGTAATTACTTTAGCTGTGCGACCATTTTAAGTCAAGTTATACAGAAAAAACCATTCGTAAATATTGCATTTTTGACAAAAGTCGATTCCCAGGTTTTTTGTAACAAAAATAATCACAATTTTGGTCAGAACACCTAAAATAAGCGTCCAAAAGTGGAATGGCGTACCTCGTTGAGCTCGTTATTTAAATCCCAATCGATTTGCATTCAAATTTGGAAATTTTAATTTTTTTCAATTTTTTGCAAATTTTGATGATGGTACCCCTTACAAAAAATGCGAAAATTGACCAAAAAATTGATTTTCCCAACTCGGTCAAAAAGTGATAGGGATGTTTAGTATTGGTAATTAGGAGCACAAAACGGTAATTACTTTATCTGTGCGACCATTTTTGGCCAAGTTATACAGAAAAAACCATTCGTAAATATTGCACTTTTGACAAAAATCGATTCCCAGGTTTTTTGTATCAAAAATAATCACCATTTTGGTCAGAACACTTGAAATAGTGGTCCAAATATGGAATGTCATACTTCGTTGAGCTCGTTACTTAAATCCCAATCGATTGACATTCCAAACTGGAATCTTTAAATTTTGACCATTTTTCGCAAAATTTTGACCATATTTCGCAAAATGCAAAAAGTTGGAAAAAAATCCATTTTTCAAAATGTGCTCAACACAGTGTCTGTTTTCATTGTGCGGCTTATTTTGGCCGAGTTGCAACTACAACATAATAGATTCGTACAATTCTCGCAGTTGAAATAAATAACCTACAAGCACAGCTCTCAGTGTGAAACCTGCATAATGCCTTTGTGCGGCTGTTGTGACCGCATCAATTGTGCGCGAACAATGAGCTACGCGTGTTATCGATGCGTTGTCCAAGCAATTTCCACCTTTTTCACTTTCTGGCCTTTGTCAGCTCGTTACGGCTGCTGTTTTCTCAGTTCCCTTTATTTTTGGTTTCCTGAGTCAGTTGTGCCTTCTTGTGTGTGTGGCGTGGTGTGGTTTTTGTTGTTCCTCGGGCGCTGCGGGTTGTCCGGCGGCGAAGACGCCGCTGACCTGCCGCTAACCCATTGAGTGGCGCCCGGCCCAGAGTTGCTGACCCGAAGGCAGTCGAGGCAGGTGCACTTGAAGAAAATACCCCAAAGTACTGGCCAAGTGTGTAAGTCACTTCTTTGATTACAGTTCAGAATATCCAATAATAGGCATAAACTACAACTTCTTATTTTCAGCTTGGGAACGCCCCCTTTGGGAAACTTTTGTTTGGGCAGTGTAATTAGGAATGGAATGAAATACAAGCGCTTGGGGCCCACAATGTGTCATTTTAATGCGGCTCGAAATGATTTTTATTGTGCTCATTTGGGCTGTTCGGTTACACTTGTGGTCTCCGCTGCAGCTCCCCACTTGTCCCCGATCCGCAGCGCTGGAAATCTTCGGGAATGGAAGAAAAGAGTCGTAAACATTTATTAGTTACGGCTCATTTCGGGGCGCAAAGGCAAACAAATAAACAAACAAACAAATAAACGCCCAGAACGAGTCGAGATCATCGAGGATCGACCACGTCCACATCCACATAGCCACCTGCCGATCGAGCGATCAGACATCCTTTCACTTTTAATGAACCTAATGAACAGCCGCATAAATCATCGTTCGAGGAGCGCACGAATGTCGAATGTTTGTCGCGTTCATTAAATAAAAACACGGCCACGCCCATAAATACCGGAGAGGTGGATACGCGTACGCCCCATCAATCTATTGGATTATGAGCATTGGGGAATTAACTTGCCACATCGTTTGCTGTCCTCCTTGGGCATGGCTGCATTTTTATGGCTCCTGTTGTGTGGGTCTTGTGGTTTCTGGCTCAGTTGCTCAGTTCTTCTGCAGCTGGCAGATACTAGAATCCTGCGGCAAGGACATGCGTACACCTTTCCACCAGCTCGAAATTTACATAAAGTGTGTGGCGACTAATTGCGGCAGTTCAGCGCAAAGGGATAACTAAAAATATGGAATTCGTTTTAGGACATCTTACCAGTTTCGTTGGGATCAGGATAAGCGGCGGGAAGATGGAAAATTCGTGGGCTAATCCACAGAGCAGATAACCATTATGTGCCCTATTGTTCGGTGATCGCTGATGCATTATTACTGCTTATTGGAACAGCTGTGGCAGCGCAAACATATACACGGTAAGAAAAGAGGGGCCAACAATGGCAGGGAGGGCGCAAAAGTGGCAAATTCCAGTGGCAACGTTATTGTTTGGGCCACAAAGCAGCGAACACGGCCTATCGGGCTTGTTAATCATGGTATAGCCATGGGTTCCGCGTCCCTCCTTCGAGGGGATCTCCTGCCTTTCATCCGGTTTCCCGGCCTTATCGCGATGGCGAACTTTGGTTTTGGGTTACCATCAAAACGATGTCAAAAAGTGAGAAACTCCCCGCGATTTGACACGCGATTAGATAGCAGATAGGGAGCGAATACTGTAATTCTGCCAGAGGTGGGATTGCATTTTCCGGCCCGACTCGAAAGTCCCTGTGGAAATGCGTGCCGTTCGCTTGTGCAGTTTCCATAAATATTAATCGACATTGGACTCGAATTACGACGCATAATCACGACATCAGCTGTTGTGCTAATACACTGATCGAAACAGAGCTACGCTTGTTATTAATTGACATATTAATTACCCTATTTTTTAGCTTTCTAGAGGCTCAACGATACTCTTTCGATCTTCAAACAATGCCACAATTGATGGCCATATTTGGCCAATGGCCATTGTCAATGGACCAAGTTGAGTTGTCCAAGGGCGTAAAGCAACATGTTTACCGCCCCTCCCCCACTAACCCCACCACCTCCACTCCACATTATGTATACGCCCTGAATGCCGAGCACGCGCAGTCGCAGTCGGTTGGCTTCCTTTTGCCCCTGAAAGTGTTCCTTTTCTGGGTTCTGCTCCTGTTCCCGTCGAAAGTGGTCGCAATGCAACTCCCACTCCATTCCCGTGGCACATTCCATTTGCCGGCTATTGTTATGGCCTGTTCCTGTTGTGTTTTCGATGTTTTATCGTGTTCAGTTGCCGTAATATTTGCCTTAGTGTAGCGGGCGTATTTGTTTGTTTTATGGCCGCATAAAATTTAATGCCGCATAAACTTATCGCCTAACGAGCTGAATGGGCGCGAAAGGAGAAAATGAGGAAATGCGCAAATGCGACATCGAAAGGGGTAACAAATGATGGCAAAGAAACACCAACTTGAAGTTGTTGCTCTTTTTGTTTTCTGTGTAAATAAAGATGTGGTCCGTTATGGACAGATAATACTCGAACATTAAAGATCCTGTTGGCCCGGCTCTGTCTGTCGATTTGCGAGCAATTTTAATTTGCCTTGCATTTTCAGTGCGCTGCAGCTATTTTCAGTCCGCGTGTCTCTCGGGTATTCCTTGGCCTTTTTTACTGCCACTTGTAATTTGAGCGCAATTCACGTAAACGGCGAATTCCTTGCACGGCCGTCCAGCGGCGTCTTCTCAAGGGGCTTAACTGAATCAGCAGCGTAGTATTCACCAACTTATGCATTTGAATAGTTTTTTGTTTTCTAATATCCTCTATCTCGCACTTCTTACTTCTTGCAGTTACTATTACTTCCCATGTGGGAAAATGACCGACTGGAATCCGATAGGCGAAATCGATATACCTAGCCCACGCATATGCACCGTTCCCACTGCCAAATGCGCCATCCCCGCCTTTGGACGGCGCGATAAGCTTGGCAGTCAATTTGCTTGACACCTCACGTTCATCAATGGGTTGCTGCCACATCTGCACAGCAGCAGCTTCTCGGATCGCTCACTCTGCACCTCGTCGAGGTTTTTTAGTTGTCTCTTATTTGCTGGTGTTTTTTTGTATTTTCCAAAGGCCTTTTTGTCCTCGTCGACGAATCAATCTGTAAGTGTGTGCGTAATTATTCCAGCAATTTGTTGGCGCGCCAATTGCTGCCAGCATTCCAGTGCGCTCTTGCCTCTCGCTCGCACCGGCCGGCCCTCTCGCTCTCGCCCGGCAAAGATTATTTATTTATTTTTTTGTGCGCCGCCTGGTGACAAATAATTATGTTAAGTTGCATGTAATTGGCAATCCGCGCAACTCAATCCAGAAAATTGCGTTTCCCAATGGCAGACAGTGGGTCAAAAAAGATTGTGTCCTTATAACAAATCGTTTTGAAAATGTTTAAGCGCATAATCAAGAATGCACATTCTTCTACATTTGTGTGCTGATAATTAAGAAATTATATTCAGTCAATTGGAAGTGTGTGCATACTCTTTATACTCAGTTTTAAACTGGCATGCGTGCCGCTTGTGTTTTTCACGCTACTTTTATTTTGCTGCAATTTTCCCTGGACTCTTGTGCTGAAATGTGCGCAAAATTTATCGCCGGCAATTTGGTTGCATGTCATTCCAGCGGCAAATGCGACGTGGCAATAATTAAAAGCGGAAATGCGCTGATGAATGGGGCGCAAAAAGATCTGCGAAAATAGAGAAAGAGCGAATGGAGTTGCAGATGGGATGCCATGGGATGCAAGATAGGATCATCGCAGATCGGAAAGAAGCAACTCCTGTCCCGGGGCGTGTCATCTGGAAAAGGCCATTATGTCAGGGCAGCCCTAATGCGCCTTATCCATCAAGAGATCTGAGATCGGAGATCGGGGATCGGCGATCTGAGTTCTGCCATACGGAATATGAGATATGAGATATGTTTGAGATCTCACCGAGAGCAGCGTTGAACCCAAACAAATAGGCGTCCATCAATTCGAGACGGCGAAAATCAATTGCGCCCCTAATTGATGGTGGGCCATGCATCAAAATAGCACCTGGTGGACTCGCCTCGAACTGGACTGGAATGGAGCGGAGCGCAACTACAAATACAGGTAGCCAGCGATGACCCCGGCTTGAAGATGAAGATCGGCTTTTGGGGCACGCGCATCTCATTTATCATTTATATGGTAAATGGTTAAGAAGTCGGTTGGCTTGAGCGGAACGAAATGCGTTTATTGCGGGGCGATCAAATTGACATATTGGCAACGCCCTCATTAGCCAGCCCCACAGCCCAATCCCCCGGAAGATGCCCATGCCGAACCCAGAGAGGTCACAGCCCAGAGAACCACCGAAAACCAAAGCGATCGAATGAGTCCAATGCCATCCGGCGATGATTTATGCAGATTTTATTACTCACAACACAACCGAAAATGTTCCTACACTGAGCGAAAATGAGAGCGCATGTGCTGCCCATCAACAAGTAGTAAACGTTTTAGAAATGGAATTTAGCATAACGAAAGAACACACTCCAATTCACAATATGGTAATGATTTAGATTTGCCCCTGTGTAGCGAAGAGCCACCTGTGGAGCAGTGATCGTTGATCGGATTGGATCGAGGCGAATTAAACTAAACGGCAACGCGATCCATAAAGATAATCTTTATATCAGTCCTTAGTCACAGTGCCAGCCGATCACCTTTGTCTTAGGCAAATGCCGTGCAGATTTAATGCCGCATTTTATGGGTGAAACGGGCGCCATTGGGGGATCTTTGCATTCGGCATCCCAGCCACCGATGGGCGGCGTAAGCCATAAACTTTTAATTATGCCCCATAAAGCCAGTCGCAGATGAAGCCATAAAGTCCTAAGCCCAATTGAGTTGTTGGCCAACATTCGTGCGCCGTGTTTCGAGTTGTGTGCTCCTCAGAAATCTTTGTGTTCTGCTCCTCTGATCCGCTGGATGATGACCACCGTTGGATCGTTGGGCAATGGATGAGTAGGTGAATGGGTGGTCGGTTCCCGGGAGATTCGAAAGTGTCCATTAAAGGGGCATAATTGAACTGCGATCGCCTTGGGAGCTCTCCGCACGCCGCACTCCGCCTAATGATGCAAAACAATCTTATTACCTGTATTAAATAATGTACATTTGGTTAACTTATGGGAAACATGGCTTCGAGTTCCCGTAAGTCACTTAAGTCCCCCAAATCGTATCGCTTCATATAGATCACTGCACTTCTCGAGCTTGACGCGATTACAAACATGCTCCTTTCAGGGCCAAATTGAAACAGTCCCGAGAAATTCAAGCGTAAAAACCGAATCGAAGTCGGAAAGAAGACAGTTTTTGGGAGAACGAGAGGCGGCAGCGCAGCTCAGGCAGGTGCCTCGTTTTTTGGATTCATCTTCATTGTGGAGGGAGCATAGGCATCGAAACCCCTTGCCACACTGAGAGAAATCGAGTAAAGTGACGCCTAATGGACGCCTCTTGAGCACACAAGTGGGTATAACTTATGTTGCAACCTGACTTGGATATCTATCTTTCTATCTGTCTATCTTTTTCTCAGTGCCCGAAACAAAAGCTGGTCGCCGAAGTCTCGTTATCATTTTAATCCGAGGAGTGCGGGAACGGAGCGTTTCCTTTGAATGAAACCCAAAACCGGAGCAGCCACCATTCCTGATCCTCAGATCTTCCGATCCCTATCCCTATCCCGAGTTCCGAGTCCCGATTTCTGCTTGGCCGTTGCATCAAGCGTGAAAATACCGCGAAATTCCTTTTGTCTGCAAAAACTCAGCTCGCTTATTTGCTTCAGTTTCAGTTGGCTTTTGTGTGTCTGCTTTGAAAGTTTTTGGCTTTTTAAGCCGCAGCGCTGGAAATGATCGAAATGTAAACAAAAAATAAGCGTTAACATGGCAACAATGAAGTCCCGCTGCGACATTGAAATATGGTTATTATACATTTTTATGACACTGTCCCACCTTTTCCATTCCCACTCCCAATCCCCCGATTCTCCAGATACTCGAGGCTGTAGCTTTGGGGCTGTGTGACAGGCATGGCTAATTATCGAGCGCCCACAAGTTTGCCAGATTCCTGCCAACAAGGATTTGCATGGAGTTGGCCCAAACCGGTTAACTTGGCCAACTGCTCCAGCTTGCGCCGCTCGCTTAGCTAACTTGGATTAGAGTGAATATGGGAGTGATAAAAAGCTGAAAACTAATCAGATGCAGCTGGAAAAATAGCTGAAAAGTGATGTTTCTAAGTGACACAGGTGCTGCATTTGCTTGGTCACTAATTGGGCAGGAAAAGGAGCTGGGAAGTGTCGCGAAATGCGCAACCTCATAAATGTTAAACATCAACAGCTCGGCAATCCAATCAGAGATTAAAAAGCCGCCCGCAGTGACAACGCCCACTGATTGCTTCCTTCCGCCTCGGAATCCTGCTGCATCCTGGTGAAGGCCGCTCATCCTGCGGGGAGGGGATACAAATCCCCTTGTGCAACCGGAAAAAACACCACCCCTGGGGTTAGGTCAGAATGCGAAATTCAATTGCTTGGCCCTTTGTCGAGGAATTGACATAAAAATCCATTTGTCAGCCCCTTCAGATTAAAATCAAGGATTTAAAGTGTAATTTGATTCACGGCCAGGATGTGCTGGTGTCCTGGTTATGGAAGTGGATGTGGATGTGGATGTGGCACTGATCAAAAGAGCAAAGCGTGACCCCAGAAAAAATCACACAACACTGGAGCGGCCGGAAGGCGGAGGCGGAGGCCAGGACAACAGCAATAAATGACAACAAACACACCCCTCCTGGTGGGTCGGGGGTGGTTCAAGCCCCCTCCTCCCATCCTTCCGTGCACCCCTTCCATTGAGAACCAGCAGCCTCTGCCTCCGAAACGGAAGAGTGATTTTAACGCGACTCCTGCGGCAGCAGGACGAAAACCAGCAGCAGGGTGCCCAGGCACTGAGAGAAAAATGTGTGCTGTTCGGATGAACTGAGGATTTACTGAAGAAGTAGTTGGCATAACCATAGATTTTGTTATCGGCTTGTAGCACTTTCTCGTTTCAACAGGCTGTGTAATTTCTGCCAGTGCACTCGTCCCCAGCCACTCGATTCTCTCGAGTGCTATTTTATGCTGAAGTGTGCCAGACGCACTGTTCCTCCTGTTTTTTGGCTGGTGGCAAGGATGCTCCTTTGGCGAGGATGTGACCACGACGGCGCCACCACGGAGTGGATCAGCTCCTGGATTGGAGGGGGGGAATGTGCTGTGCAACCGGTTGAGTCCATTAATCATTTTCTAATTTGTGGAATGCAGAGTGGGTGAATCGAGGGGAGAACACACAAACATCCCCCTTGCGGAAGGAAAAGCAGGGAAAGTGGAGGTCGGACACCGAAAATGAAATTTTCACATCTGTAATTTGTTAAGTGCGTTTGTTATTCCACCGAATTATTTCACTTTTATGGGTTAAGTGCTTTTTGAGTTACGACGCGGCTGGTCTGAACCAGTTCGAGGTCCTTGGGGTTACGAGGACTCCGCTTCGACTGAGAATTGGGCATTCCCAGACGACTGACATTAATTAGTTGTCTGGGAATTGGCCGCCGGAATTGGGAATTTTCCTGTTTTGCCTAGAGGCTGCATCCAATGCAATTAGCCATTCATTTAGAGACTTTTCGGGGAATACTGCTTAATTGGGTGACGCAGTACTCCAAACGGATCTTTGCTCTCCTGAACATCGCGTACCATTAGAGATCATTGAACCCTTTTCTCTGGACTAACACACGTGGATCTCGCATCGATTCCTTTGTCAGTGGACAATGATTTGCTCAACGTAATCTCCTTGGGATCATCCCGCCATATGTTGAAATAAGTCGGTTGGGAAATCGACAACACCGAATCAACATCATTATCAACCAGCCCTCGGGTCGGAGATGCTCGGATGGAGATGTCATCATCGATCACAACATCTCGAGCAGCGAGGATGGAAATCAGACAACTGTAAACTAATGACATTTGCCGGAGTCGAAGTTGGCTCGGGGTCGGAGGTCCTGAGTCCTGGATGCTGGGCCCTGCGTATCCGCTTACAAATGAGTGGATGGATGGACGGATGCATGGGCGATGAGCCACCACCAGTGGCAGCCAGTAGCCAGTCGTCGAGGGTGGTTCCCATGCCAGTCCCAAGCCCATTGACTCGCAGCCACTCGCATCCACTCGTCTCTCGATTTGTTTGTTTTCGAGTGCTGCGAGTTGCTTGTCCAAATATGCGGCAGCTTGTAACAATTACCAAATGACACCCTCGACAATCGGAAGTGGACAAGAGCAGCCGGGAAAATATATATCCCTATACGTTAATAGAGTGGAGGGCAGAAGCCGGGGAGTGCGGCAACAAATGCGCACTTGTCGCAAAAGCAATGGCAATATTTTCACCATTAGTTGCTCCCTTTTTGCTAATGCCCTTGTGCGCCCGAAAATGAAGTAATCAAGCGAAATCGACTTAAAACTCAGTTTGAGGGAAAAGTTTATGGACTGGAAGTGGAAATGCGCTCGTCTCCCAAACGAGATTATTCATGGGCTAGGAATGTTGGTAAGATGGGGTTGAATGGCTAGGACAAGTGGGTTGGGCAGTTCCTCCAATCTGTTGTGATTTGTGTCCACCATTACCTAAAAGATCTTTAGAACTCATCGGCTGGCAGTGGAAATACTTAGGGGCTCATTAAAAGCCACTCCCGCACTTGCACACATGTATGTATGACATGTTTGGGGAAAACTTCCCATAGATCCCAGCGATGCCAACGAGATCCCCATCGTGGAGCAGCTGCCTCTGCAGAGCTTTCTGCCCCAACGAATTGTATGTTTTATGAAAAACCGACGACATCTGCTGCAGTTTCGGCTTCTATATCTGTTGCTTGGGGGACAGCGGACGTCAATATGATTTGTGATTTACAACAGGTTTCAATTAACCAAAAGTATGCCCCATGCTTTTGAATTTCGCATGTTTTTGATGTGGGATGTGGGGGAATTTCGAATTTCGAAATGGGAAATGGGAAGGCGGAGCAGCTGAGAGGCGTTGACAGGGACATAAATAAGCGGCGGCTATAAGTATCGTGTAATGCTAGACGAATAGTTTCGGGTTTGTCGTGTCGCTGTAAGTGGAGAAGTCGCCCGTATAGGATAACCTCCTCGATTCCCCAACTCCCTGGGGCAAACAGCCGCCGAAGTTGCAGCCGCAGTTGCAACTAATTGAGCACAAGGCGGCATAAATTAGACAACGCCCGTCTAAGTGGATCGGAGTCGCGGGCTGGGCACCATGCCATGCTCCAAACTATAGAACATATATGCGATTGACGACCTGATGGACTGTCAAATTGCGTCTGCATCGCGGCGACATCTTTCAATTAAAAACGCATCCCACTGCCAGTGCCGCCTGCCTTTCGGTGATGTAATCTCGGGGCTCATTAAATTCGAATGGAATTTGTTTGAAAGGCAAAACTTAATCCGCTCGTAAACATCGACGAGCTCCCCACCTAAACATAAATCAGCTGTAGCTAACCCAAGGATTTGCCGGCTCAACCCGGCTCTACTCCATTTGCACTCGAAGAAAAAGGGGGATAAACTGACTTATCATTGCTCATACTTTTGCTGCATGCATCGAAAATGTTATTTAATACTGATCCTTTGAGCTGAGCTGCACCTAGTTTATATTAGTGTGATTACTCGCTAGTTCTAATGCACGATTTTCTTAACTTTTATTTTCCCGCACTCGAGTGTATGCGAATCGTATGACTGGTGAATTTCGGAGCGTGTGCCGCCGTAAACCTCGTAACGAATGCCGACCAACGGCAGAAATCTAATTTCAAGCACCAGAGAGCAGGAAGAGCAGGTGGAGGAGGATGGGTAGGAGGAGGGGAAGGAGTCTGCCTTTTCCACTTGGCTGGCTTAACGATTCGAGCTGCTCTCGGGCTTTTCGGCCGGGCCAAAAAGAGAGCACCACCACATTGTTGTCTATTTGATGTCTTAATGCGAACCAGCCAGCGCACCATCCCCTGCTTACGATTTTCCGCCCCGGCATGCCGTTTTAATCAAATGGATTTTCATTCCATTTTCCATCCAATTTTCCCCCCCGGCGGTACGAAAATAGACCTGCCCCATAAGCCCACCCACTTGAGAGTGGCGACAACAGGAGCGACGATTTATTAGGTTCTCTCACGTCTGATCTCTGCCGGCATTAGCCGGCTATATAGTATGCCCAGCATTATTCATGGGGGCATCGATGGCCTGATGTCATTCGGCATTTCGGAAGCCCATATTTATGGCATCTCAAGTTGCCTGGATTTAACAATTCTACGATTTATTGCATCAATTTTATAAAGCTGCCGTCTGGGAAATAAGTAAATGAAATGGTTTTAATCAAGGAACAGTAAAATATACCAATTAACTATAATCTGGCTTTCATATATCTTCTATTGAACCTTAAGACTAAATCCGTTTATCAAATGAATTTAACTCGCAGTTTATAGAAACTCTTTTATAGCTCACCGGACTTTCCCATACAAAATCAGTGGTATCAGCTACTGGGAACAGTGTGAAAAGCCGATCCAGCCGAGACACAAACCCGCAACAATTGACGCTGGGTAAAGTTAAACCGCTTGTCAAATGCACTAACATGTTTGGATTTTACTTCCCATTTTCTAGCAGTGTAAGAAAAGGAAGAGGCTTGGCTTGAATTAACATTGAACTTTAATACATAAATAAATACAAGGGATTATGTAATACCATACATATTGTGGTTTAGCCTAGCGCGACGCATTGTCCCTGGACGCGGGACCAAAACGGGTGCAATCAGTCTTCTTCAAATAATTACGGAAATTTGTGGGTATCCTCTGAAGTCCAAAAAAAGAATTGTGCTACGTAGATTTGGAAAAGTAACTAGGGACTATAGTTTATGATCTGTCCGGCCTAGAAACGCATCCGCTGCGGTCCCGGTGTGCGCTTGGGCGGCACTTCGTTGCCATTGGTGGTCTGTAGGCGTTTCCTTGGTGTGTAGCTACTGCAATTTGCGGTCTCCGAGGGTGTGGGTAAGTCTACGGGGGTGTTGACTGCCTCGCGAGCTGCCTCAGCCTGCTGCGGTGCTGGCTGCTCCTGCTCCACCTCGGGAATGGGAGTGGGATCGGGATCGGGATCACCATCGTCATCCTCCCCTTCCTGAGTGTTCTCCTCTGTAAACAAAGTACGACGGACGCCGCGCCTCGATGTTGCCGGCGGTAAATCCTCCTCGGCATCGCCCTCATCATCGGTGCTTGGGTTATAGCGGGCATTGGGCCGTCGTGGATAGCAAATGGCGGATTTGGGCTCATTTAAGGTGGATCGCTTGAGGCTGGTCAGACCCCGATCGTATACAACTAGGCAGATCTCGAAGCCGCTCACTTGACCGCTGGGCAGCCGGGTGCTCCGATAGCCCAAAGTGAGGTGGACGGCGCACGATTCGCCCATGTCCAGGCCGCCGTAGACATATTCATCACGCCTGTTCAACAGGCCACAGGCCTCCACATACTTCAGTGAGTTCAAATTGTAGCTCGAGGGACGTGGTGGCGTGATCAGGGATGTGGAGAACTCCTCATTTACCTCCTCGTCGTCGCTCTCCGCATGCAGATGCATAGTGGTGGCGCCTTCGAGCGCCTTCTCCTCGTAGATGCGACGTCGCTCGGCGTCAAAGGATCTGCCGAAGCGTGCCTGCAGCAGAATCTCGTCGCCCTTCGCAAGACGCGCTGCTTCCTCGAAATTTTCGTGCCTGTAGCGCCTAGTCACCTGGGTCCTTAGAAATCCGGTGATGGCCTTGGCGCCACGCACATTTCGGCTGTAGTAGCTCAGGATGCAGTCCTCCGCCAGATCGCGGCGTAAAGTGCCATCATCCACGCCCTTGATGAACTCATGGATAACCTCCAAAGGCGTCTCCTCTGAAAATTTAGCAAGCGGAAAGTCGGATGAGCGAATGATGCGATTCCTATTGATCATACATCTGTCACGGGTAATTACCACTTACCCGTGGCTGTGCCACTTACTATGTTCTTCTGGAGCGTTCATTTCCTGCGATATAGCTCATGCGATTACGCTTATAAAAATATAATTAATTTGGGAAATATACAATTTGACTCGGACACGATGTTGTTGATACAACAATGTTTTGTTAGTGTGCCATATCGGCCAGTGTTGAAAGTGACGCTTAGCTATCGCCTCAGTGGTCAGGGATCAGGGCCTGCTTATAACTCGGCTGCTGATACTCCGAAAAACTTTAAATGGGCAATTTTGTGCCGTTGAATATGAAATAACTGTCTAGATCTGATAATATGTTACAATATTTGAATATAAATGGCCAATAGCATATATCGCATGCACACTAAATGGCGATAGTTGGTATTTCGCGCAGAGCTGGTCACACTTAGCGCGTGCTGAAATCGATAACCGATAGCTCTTGTCATATATTGCAGACCGATTGGCAGCGGCGACCAGGAAAAAAGAACGCAAAGAAATCGTGCAAAATGTTCAAAAAGTACGTATGGCATGTGCGTAATGGCAGTATCAGACTAACCACAGCCCTACGCCCCGTGCAGATTCGAGGAGAAGGACAGCATTTCCAGCATTCAGCAGCTGAAGTCGTCGGTGCAGAAAGGCATACGTGCCAAGTTGCTGGAGGCATATCCCAAGTTGGAGTCCCACATCGACCTGATCCTGCCCAAGAAGGACTCGTACCGCATCGCCAAGTGGTAGGATGGTATCAGCACTTAGCACGCCACACAACACCATTCATATCCGATCTCTATTCCGCCAGCCATGATCACATCGAACTGCTGCTGAATGGAGCCGGCGAACAGGTGTTCTTCCGGCACCGCGATGGCCCCTGGATGCCCACGCTGCGCCTCCTGCACAAGTTCCCCTACTTCGTGACCATGCAGCAAGTGGACAAAGGCGCCATCCGCTTCGTGCTGAGCGGAGCGAACGTCATGTGTCCCGGCCTCACTTCCCCGGGCGCCTGCATGACGCCGGCCGACAAGGACACCGTGGTGGCCATCATGGCTGAGGGCAAGGAGCACGCCCTGGCCATCGGACTCCTCACGCTATCCACACAGGAAATGTAAGTGCCCTTCCTTAGCGGTTAATCTAAAAGCATCAGGTTATATTCTTTAATTTCATTTAAATGTGTTTAATACTTTCTTAATGTTAAAAGTTGGTCGCTAGAGTAACGTGTTATTCTGTGTCGAAATGTGAATAGTTATTGCTTTCTAAATTCTTTGAGCTAGCTTTGAAAAACCACACTTTGAGTTCCAGATTAGTTAACTCAAATGTAAAAGTATCTTCCTAAATGGAAATGCGTTTAAAAAGACATCAATATTTCCATATTTCTGTTAGGTTTTTTTTTTACATTTGAATAAACCATTAACCACCATTTCTCTTGACATTTCCCCAGTCTGGCGAAGAACAAAGGCATCGGCATCGAGACGTACCATTTCCTCAACGACGGCCTGTGGAAGTCGAAGCCCGTGAAGTAGGCGAAATAGGAATCTGCACTTGCACTTTTTAGTCTTCTATGTCATGAGAGCAAAGAATGGTTTTTGATATACGCAACTCAATCCTGTTTATTATTTTTTTTTGTTTTTTCTCTCCTAATTTTACTCTGTCAGTTAAACTATTTAAATCAATGCGAAATATAATTAATGGCATTTAAAGCGAGCAGAGAGAGATTGAAAGAGAGAGAACTGGAAAAAGGAAACCAACCACCTGTGGCAACGGTCCCAGTGAAGAGTGTCCAGTGGATCTAATTTTGCGCATTTTACACGGATTTGGACAGGTATGACTGAGCATTTGAAAAGTCTTCTGTTTGGCGGTCTTCATTTTGCTAGCTCTTATTTAACTTTCGACTGCATAACTGCGACTCCTTTTGTTTATTGATTAGTCGAAAAATCAACGAAACAAGCCCTGCAGCTTAAAATTTCCCAGGGCTGCGCACAACTCTTATAAACATTTAAAGTTTATAGTTCATTTTTAGGCACTTGTGAATGCAAAAGAAAATGTATACAAAGAGCTTATAACGAAATGTACACAGTTTAGTTTTTAGTTGTTTTACTTCGAGATTATTGAAATAAAGCTTCGCAAAACATGGAACTAAGTCATTTTCGTATGAAGATCTGAAATCCTGTTTTCGCTTGAGTGTTCAATACCATGGCATACTTTGTGGCAACTATTAGTGCCGCAAGTCAAATGGGAGTGTGAAGTCCTCCCAATCCCCACATGCGGCAACTGCACAGGTTTTCCTTTGGGTCGTAGTGCTCTATCTTTCAAACTGCGCCTGCCGCCCTAGTTTTTCCAAACTTTCAGCTGACCGATAAACGTTACAATCGAACAGCTGACTGGCAGGCATGCGCCTAGCTAACGGTACTCCATGCGCACTCCGCCGTAAATGGAGAAAGTGCTTTCCTTTCGCGTCACACAGCATTTGTCGCATCCAACGGCAAGTGCAGCGCATTTTTCCCCGGAGAAGCAAGAGGAGAATAAAAATACAAAAAAAAACAAAGTAAAGTGCGGAATAACTGTGGAGAGCATAGGGAAAACCACAAGTGGTGGCTGGATACCGTTAGCAAAGACCATGGACCTCTTCCATTGCAAGAAATGGTAATTTCCGATGAGTAATCGCCGTGGCAAGTGCTGGTGGGCTGTGCGTATCGCCTGGCATATGGATTTAGTTTATAAAAGACGTACCGATGCAATTGCCTGGTGCATTGTTCGCCCGTGCATGTGTGTGTGTGTGTGAAAGTGGGAAAAGTTTTTCAAGGAAAACGGATACACACTGTTTGAACTTTTCGAAGGTGCACAATTGCAATGTGTGTGCGAAAGTTGGTGTTTGAAAAGTGCAAAAGTGACGTGAGGCGAAAACGCCACATTGAAACTTTAAGCCATGTGTGAGTGCGAGTGCATATGTATGTGTGTGTGCGTGCATACATATGGCGCCAACATAACATATGTATACAATCAGCCTTCACCGCTACTGTGTTGTTATTATCCTCCTTTGTATTGATTTTACTACCAATTTTTTAGGCGCTAATTGAGTTGTTGTTGTTGTTACTACCAATGATGGCGTGCAAGGGCGCAGCAACAACCACAGCCAGCGGAACTGCCTGAAGCAGCGAACTAAACGCACGCACACCAGCAGACAGACTTTCGGCCCACACCAACGCACACAACCACAGTCGCTGCACGCACAGAGGCCCAGAAAGAGACGGGCAATATGGAGGACCTCTTCTTGCTCATTATCAAGGAATCAACGGGCACTAAACACAATGCGCTGCGGCAAACGGCGCAAATCGCTTACGGTAAGTTTTTTTTGCTCTTTTCTTTCGCGCAATATGTGCGAGCTCCGCTTACAGTTAGCACGGTGTATGTGAGAAAGAGTGAGAGAGGGCGAGATGGTGAGCGAACGAGCGAGTGTTGCTATTTCCTCACTTCCTTTCTCGCTTTCCCTTGCCCTTTGGCTGCTTTGTTGCCGCCAATGTTTGTTGTTTACCGTTAGTTGCCACTTTCCTTGTGCAATGCCCTTCGCCTTTTCAGCGCGGCACTTCAGTTTCGGCAGACTTTAATGTTCATTACTTTAAAAGTTTTTGTATTAAAAAAAGGTCATTATATGTATATTGAAAGTACTAACCTATTTCGCTGGCATTTCATTTTATATGTATTGTTTAGTAGCTTTCACATAGAGCGTATTGCAACGCCCACATACCAGAATATTTTATTTTGCGTGCAAAAGTCGGACTTTGTGTTCTGCTGCCTTGGAGTAAAGTAGTTGCAGGAAAGTAGGCAACGATTTGCGGGTGGTGGAGCGTGGGAGTTGCTTCCGTCCGCTTATCGGGAAAGATTTTACTGCCTGCATTGGTAACATACTTGTGTGCCCCGGCGATAAACGTTAATTGCGACGCTTGGCCACCCACTGCGGATCTAAATTTTCGCGCGCGCTGTGAAAAGCAGCATTTTTAGTTGATAAAGACGTTAATTTCGCATATATGTACATGTTACTAATACCGTCTAGTTAATGACCCAATTTTGTGGACCCTGCAGATAAGCTGTACCGCCAGCATGGCATCCACCGGGATCCGTCGCACGAGCTGCGCTCCGTTTGCTTTACCGCCCTGCAGATGGCGCTGGACACGAAGCGGCCCAAGTTTATCACGATGGGACTCAACGGCCTCCATGTAAGTGCACCGTCCGGAAAGGGCGATTATCGAAAGGGGCAGTAAAGTGGTAGTGGGGCTGTGGACTAACAATGGGCATAACAACCACTGACACACATTTTCCGGCCGGAACTTCCGGCGAACAAAACGGATTTATCATTCCATGTGCACACACTGGTCATCAAACAAAAGGGGCATGGACAATGGGATTTGGGACATGGGAGATTGCATGTGGCATATGGCTTATAGCATATGACATATGTGGGCCATTGGGGCATTGGTGGGCAACGGGCGGAATAGGCTAATTGCTGGGAGTCCTCAAGGGTCGGATGTGACTTTTGTTTACGACTGGTTAACAACATGGTCATCAATAATTCCGGATTTGCGTGCCCACTTGCTCTGGGTATTTATATTCCATTGCCATTCACTTGTTCTAGATTCCTGCGATTTATCCTTGATTTTCCAGTTCTATTTTTATACTATGTCCACTGCCGCCCCTTACTAATCCTGCTTTTCCATTCTTCGCCATCCAAATAGCGCGTCATCAAGGACGAACGCTTCTACATCGGCCTTGAGCCGGAGGACGACTCCGTGTGGCTGCCATCGCAGCTCCTGAGGGCCACCAACGGCATCCTGCCCACGACGAGCAGCGAGGACACGGTGGTCAACGTGCTGCGGCTCTTCCTGGCGATGGCCTGCTCGCCCGCATGCACCCTCAACGGTCGCCTCCTCATCGAGATCCTCTCCAGATGCGGCGAGTGCTGGGAGATGGGCTCGCGGGCCACCAAGGCCGCCTCATTGGCCGCCGCCTCCCAGTGCCTGCGCACATTTTGCGCCTTCCTCATCGAGGAGGCCGAGGAGGTCAAGAAGACGGCACCCGCCGGCCTGATGACCCAGACGCAGGCCTCCGCCGTCTACAACGAGGTTATCCCGGTGATGCAGTGGCTCTGCAGCCGGCTGGTGGAGCCCAACGTGAATGCCTCGCC